CAACTCCCAGAATTCCCCAGCCAGCCATGCTGGCTGGGGGATTCTGGGAGTTGAAGTTCACATATCTTAAAGTTGTTAAGATTGAGAAACACTGCTCTAACTTCTCTGAGCTGCTATGAAGAGCTACAAAGTAGATATGTCACCTTAAGCGATGATTTAACAGTGGTTTGCTGGATAAACCAGAATTGATTACATTTCTATATATGTTAAAACAAAACAAAACAAATCACACTATCTTATCATTTTGAGTGAATAAGGTGAGCAAGCCAGAGCAATTGTTCATCTACCAAGTACTCTGGCAGGGATTTCCCCCCACTTCTCGTGCATTTTTTTTAAACACATAGGTATACAGCCTATGGCTGGAGTGTTGCTTCCAGAGCCCTGTTGCTAAGAAGTGTAAATTTTAATGTGATAGTAGGGGAATTATTAAATACACAGGAAAGAAGCATTCCCTATTAACTATTTAATCAAATTAATATAATGTTAATTGCAATTGAATTAAACCAAGTGCTAGTTTTGGTCTGCCCACACCTATTTTTTTAGAGTTCAGTCTTCAACATGCTAGACTGGTTTCATTTCACCTGAAAAAGACAATGCAGCCCTGTTTTTTTTTAGAAATGAAGATGCTGTGTGTCATAGCCAGGGTCTTCAAAGTATTGGATTACACTATGCAAAAAGCTATAGGGTGGGTGATTTACATTCAAAGCCTTACACAAATGTAATTACTATGGTAGAATTAACAGGGTAGAGCTTTTTAAATTGATACTTGGTAGAATGAAGAGGGCAAAGAAGAGTTATTAAAGAACAGAATAACTTCTTGTTTTGATCTTACAGCAAGTAAGGTGATGTATGGCTTGTATGTATGAAGGCTGAAAGCAAGCACTTTAAAAAAATAAAAGACTTCAGACAGAAACATCACCGTGTATTTTCCTGTCTCCCCCACACCCCCATGAAATCTTGGTGCATGATAATGGCTTTATGCAAATCTATTCTCCTATGAAAAGGACAACATGGGTGTCTATTGGTTGATATTATGAAGTAATTTGTAATGTTATTAACAATGTGTCTTTCTCCCTTCAATCATAGCAAAATGGGCTCTGTTCTTTAATCTCCTCTCTAGCAAAAAAGAAAATAGCCGTCATTCTCCTTGTTTCTTTGGCCATTAATCTGTTTGTTGGTTTGTTTTGGGGCCAGAAATATAGGGTTCCCACATGGTAGCAACACTGGGTTTTTTTTGTTTTTTTTTAAGGATTGGAATAGATGTGACTTAAGACCTCCTGATCCAATCCTCAAGTGCAAACTCCTGAAAAAAACAGGCCCCCCAATTTTGGCTCCTTTCAATGATGTGATATCACCAGATAGCATCTTATGGCTCTCTCGGAGGTACAAACTGTAAGCCTGAACTCTCAAATGTTGCTCACCCCTGCACTAGGGCATGTTGTGGCTGGTATAGTTTTGGCTTATGTGATATCAATTCAGTCAATTCTTTACTCAATAAACTATGGTTAACCCAATAATGGCTTAGTGTAATGTGTGAAAACAGCTTTAATCTATGGGATGAGAGCCAAAATTAAGATTCAGAAAAATGGTTTGGAGATTGTATATTTTACCTATACAGGTAGTCCTTGTTTAGTGACTGCCTCATACAGCGACTGTTTGCAGTTATGACAGTGATGAAAAAGTAAGTTTGTGACCAATCCTTGCATTTACGACATTTGCAGGTACGTAAAGCAAAGGAAAGCTAAAGCAAGATCATAAGCACAGCTGCAGTTTCACTTAATGACCTCTTCACTTAACGACTGATTTGCTGGTCCCAATTGGGGTCACTAAACGAGAACTACCTGTAATAGCCACCATCTCATCCAGGGTTCTAATGGAACTACAGTTAGATTATCATTATAACATAGCTTTAAATGTAGGGAAAAGTTTGGATTCTGGTAACCATAGCCAGAAAAATTCCACTACATTTGTCTATGCCAGTCTTCTGCAACCTTGTATCCTTGACCATACAGATGGGGAAATCTGGGAGTTGTAATCTGAAAGACAACTAGATTAGGGAAAACATTTAGAAATACTTAAACCTGACATATTAAATGTGTCATAAATATTTATAAATAAATAAATAAACATGAAATTAAAAATTGCTGAGGTAAATAAATAATCAGCACAAGCAAACATATGTGACAATTATTTATGTAGTCTATCATGATCTAGATCTAGGAAATTGTGGAGTTAGTGGCTTGAGAGAGATGGAGGTCAACACAGTTTATTAAAGATTAACAGTATTAACATTAATCCTTCACTGTGAAAGGAGTATTCCTTTTTTTCTTTTTAATTGTCTGTTCTTGTTTTGATAGAGTTACTCATGTGTGCCCAAGTGATTTCAAGTGAAGTATGCATTATATCTGTTATAAGAACTATCTGACAATATTGCTGAAGGGAACCTTCCAGGAAAATTTTTTAAAATCATTTATTCAGTTCACCAACTAGGAGAAGGGAATAACTAGAAGGGACACAACTGATCCTTACATATACTTTGTTAAATACAGCTGTATATAGAGACACATGTTACCCTAAGAGTCGCTAGAGCATCAAGAAAGTACATTTTCCAGATACCTGCATCACCACATTTTTCCTAGTCCACAAATCACTTTTGCCCCATGGGGAAGATGTCCAGGATGACTCATTTTGGAAATAGAGCAAACCAGAACCAATCTTAGGTAGAATGGCAATAAAGGGAAAATGGAGCAGTGAGGGTGACTTAAAAAAAA